AGGATCACTTAGTAAATTCCATTAGCCATTTTTTTTATCGATACTCATGAGAGTATCGATACCAGGGGTAGAGTATCGATACTCCCAATAGGGTATCGATACTGAGGTATATTTCAAAATATCGAAGAAAATTTTGGTATCGATACTTGGGATAGTTTCGATACCCTAATATAGAAGTATCAATACTTGGATCAGGAGTATCGATATTATCTCCCCTTTTTAGTCCGCATCAGCCAGTTAATATCGATACCCAAGGGACGATATCGATATTCAAAGGTCAGTACCGATACTAAAGGGCTTAGTATCGGTACCTATGAATAGTTTTGGATAAGAAATCCATTTGGTTAAGGGTTAGATTGGAGGCTCTCAATAATATTATATTACCATGGAATAAGACTACAAATGAGAACGATAATAAATACATAAGAACTAGAAAATAGTAACAACTAGGATAACATAAAACTAGCCTTGATTGATGCTCGAGAAACAATCAGGGAACTTGAGTTCCTTTAATAGAATATGATTGTCTCAGTTGGATATCCTATTCAGTGCCAAGGCACTTTTGTTTCCAACTGGGCGCAGATGCCATAAAACTTAACGGAGTAAGTTGGTTGGGTGTACGTTTTTTATGTTGTTTCAAATCTCACCCCAGATACCTGAGGTTATTTTAAGAAGGCTAGAGGTGTGTATGCTTCGAGATGCAGAACCCTCAGCCACACCATGATTCCTACATCAGTACTTCATAACAACATTTTCTCATATCTTTATACCTACGCCACTAGCATGCTCATTTAGTGAATGTATGTAGTATAGTATAGTTATTAGTGTTACGTTAAGCTTGTAAGCTCAAGGTTCGGAATGTATTTCCATGTGCATGTTTCTAGCAGACTAGTCGAGGTACCAGAGTACGTCTTGAGTTATTATTAGAGGGCATGTATTATTATAGACCTCTTTTGTATTTAGTCATAACTCACTTTGTTTAAAACTCCAAATTGTTATTATTTTGAGAGCTCTTCATATTTGTAGAACATTGCAAGTTCTTTAACATATTTGTGATAGAAGAAAGTTAGTCGGAGACTAAATCCTTAACATCTAGCTCAAGTGTTCCTGGTGCTTTCCTCCCTGTTCCAAGTCTTGAAGAGGGAAATTGGAAATCATTGTTTGTTATCCTATCAAGAATGACAAAATCCTCTTCTGGTGATTTGTCTAGCAAAATGCCATTTGTCGAGGCATCTAGCATCATATTGGTATGTGCATTGACTCCATTATAAAACATCACGACTTGAGTTCAATCTTGAAATCCATGCTTGGTACACTTGCGAAGCAATCCCTTATAACGATCCCAACACTCATACATAGTCTCGTCATAAGCTTAACGAAAAGATACTATGTTATTTCTGAGTTGAGTGTTCATATTCGGCGGATTATACTGCAGCAAAAAACCTTTGTATAAAACGACCCATGACTCTATCGAACCAAATGTGATTCTACTTAACTAAGCTCTCTCTCGGTCACTCAAAGAATAAGAAAATAATTTAAGCTTCAACACATCTTCATGCACTCCTTCTTTCCTAAATGAGTCACAAACTTCCAAGAAAGCATGAATGTATTACCTAGAATCTTCATGAGGCATACCACCAAATTGTCCTATCGAGTTCAACATGTTGAACATGACTGCTTTGAGCTCAAAGTGGGTTGTCTGAATCTCGAGAGCTACAATCCCTGGATTGATATTATCCAAGATAGGAGCTAAGTGATCTCGAATGGCTCTAGGTCGAGGTATAATTCCATCATTCCAATTCATCGCAGCATTTGGATCTGTTGGATCTTGTACTTGCGGAACTCCTTGGTTCTGAACTCCGTACATGGCTCTATTAGCATGTTGATCACATCGTCTTCTACGGAATAAGTATTCAATCTCAGGTACTAGAGGATATAGCCCTTCTGGTCATGCAATGGCAAATCCTGAAAAAGAAAAACAAAGAAAATAACAAGTAAAACTATACTAGAAAAACAAAGAATTAAAATAAAAATGCTATAGCAAAACTGTTAAACTTCCAATTATCAATCCCCGACAACGGCGCCAAAAATTTATTGTGTGTTGTGAGTACTATAAATTGGACGTAAATTATGTGCAAGTATACACAATCACACAAGTAATAAAGAGTGAGTGAGTATCGTTCCCACAAGGATTGAAGGAAATTGAAATTAAGTTAAAACATTAATACTAAATTATCTAAGTATAGTTAGTGTGGTGGTATGTACATATGAGAATTTTGTGGCAAAATGGAATGTGTGCAGAAGGTATCGTGGAAATGTGATGGTGAATTGTGATGACAATGTGGCAATATAGCAAACGGAAATGTCGTGACAAGTGGAAATGTGTTCAAATAGTAAATAATTGAAAATATCAATGCAGAACGAGTTGAGAATTCAAAAATAAGTAAGCAGACTTAATAATCCTCACATAACAAGCTACTATGGGAATGAATGGTGGGGTTACTAAGGAATTCTAAGCCTTTTCTTTTAGAATGGTCTAAACTTATATGGTTCACTTACTCGAAAGAGTTCACTAAGAGTGCTCCTATGCTATCTCAAGTCATAGAACATAACAGATAAGAATGTTATGACAAATCATCTCGGCCTGAGCAGTAACATCTAACCTATTGAATAAGATCAAATCCTATTAGTCATTAAAATCCTACCTTAGTTTCTCTCGAACACTAATGTTGGATTAGGCTCTAGACCCATTGTTCACGTTGATTATCCTTTAGTTTCTCGCGGACACTAAGGATCTTTAACTTAGTTTCTCTCGAACACTAAGTAATATACTTAAGAAATAGTCATTCTCATGTCTCCTACAATCTTAAGTAATTCGAAACAATGAACAAAACAAGTTATAAACATAAAAGTATCAACCATTCATTAAAAAAAATACTTAATCATCCATCATAAACCCATATCATATAAAGTTTAGTTCATGGTGGGGTTCAAAATATCCAAGAGAATAATTTGTTCTATACAACCAGTAAATCAAATGAAAATTAAAGTATAAAGGTGGAGGAAACTCCCAACGCACGCTGTTGGTTGCTCCTCGGACCACCATGAACGACTCCTTAATGACGCTAGCTCCTCTCAGACGTTTAGCTTATCACTCCCTCGATCTTGGCTATGGAGGAAACCCTTTGAAAAGATAAAAGGGGAAAGAAAGTTGGAAACTTTTAGCCACCTCTCACTCTTGCTTAGCTCATTTTTACCCTAAAAGAATATTCTCCCTTGATTTTTGTGGCCACCTTTTCTATTTATACTAGGGGAATGTCCTAAGTTTTAATACAACAATTCCCATAGTATCTTAAGGTGCATTCCCCTCATGTGAATAAGGGTACAAAGGTGGTTTAAGTCCCCTCCAAGATGGTTAGAAATAGAAAACACATGAGTGCTAGACAGCTGGTAGCTCGCATAAAAATATCTTCTTCATTTTTGTCCTTTTCTGTGCACATGAGTCATCCCAAATTGCCTCGTCAATTCCCCTTTGCTTATTATCTGGGAATGCTGTGACAATTCCCCATGCTCACCCTTTACTTCATCAACCTGCACATCATCAGCAAAACACAACCTTCTCCGTAAAATAGCACTATTTACAAAATAATATGCCAAGGTAAATCTAAACCACCAAATGCAATTATATACTCCTAAATGCATGTATATGAACCTATATGTGCTTTAAGATAGCTAATAACTTAAGTGAAAAGACACAAAATATGGCCTTTTTATGGAGTTATCAGTAGCCTCCAAACAATATGTCATGAGGGCCATAGAGGAGTTTGATGCGGCAGATGTGTTATTAGGTACCTTTATAGTGTTTTCCATTTCAGTTACCACATTGATAGATCTTGATTCCACCTATTCCTACATCTGCTTCGACCTAGCTCAAGAAATAAAAATCCCAGTAGAAGACTAAGAGGTAGGTGTTCGAGTATCGAGCCCTCTAGGTCTAGATGTCCTAGTAGACAAGATCCACCGATGATGCTTAGTAGAAATCCAAGGACAGACCTTCCTAGAAAACTTAAGGAGTTGCCTTTCTGAGAGTTTGACTTAATCTTGGGAATGGATTGGTTATCCAAGCATGACACCAATTTGAAGTGAAAAGCCAGACAACTTAAGCTCAAGGCAGGCGATTGTACCAAACTAGTGAGAAGTCGAGCCAATCAAGAATTGTGTTAACTATAAAAGCCTAACGAATGATCGACCAGGGATGTGAGGCCTTTTTGTCTCACGTCCGAATCTCAGTCTCAACACTTGCGAATATCCGGGAAGTATGAGATTTTCCCGATGTGTTCCCAGAAGAGTTGTCAGGTTTACTATCAGACCAAGAGTTAGAGTTTGGCATTGAATTAATGTATGATTTAGCCCCTAAATCGTCTCATCAACTATTATTCTTAATATATAACTAGTAGTTTTCCCTCAACACAGAAAACACAAAGCATTGCTCCTTTTGCTTTCCTGTGTCCATTGTTTTCAATTTTCATTCTACTTCCTCTGCTTTTTAATATGTCCATCTACTACAGGAAAATATTTTTCAAGAAATTATCCTTCCTTTCTAGAGAAGAGTAATATCAATCAATTACTTTTCAATTTTATTATTTAAATGTACAGATTTTAATGAACTGTGTGAATCTAGGAGGATGTCATCTACTTCACGATTATATCGATTAAGACGGTTTATTTCTAAAACAATGATTCTTTCAAATACAATTATTATTTTATTTATTTTAATTCTATTTATTTCAGTGCTAATAAGTGTATTTTTCAGTAATATAATAGGCGATAGCCTATAGCATGCATAGCCTATAGTTAAAACCTGTATGTTACTTACAATGAGCATAGCCTATAGCATGCATGAGCATCTAAATTATTATAAAGTTCGAAATCCCAGTACTTGCAGCTCTTTTAGAATAACTGAAAGGCTGCCTTTTAATACGACTTGTCCCATCAGGCAGAAGCCTTTTAGCATAAAATTCAACAACATATGCAAAGGATTCACCACTGCATACAAGAAATTCCACGTACATGGTTAAATTAACAATATAGGAGATCATTCACAAATTCTTCAAGGTAAAAAAAACACCCAGAAAATATATGGAGATGCATCCTATATTTGCATACTTCTGATTCTCGGTAACATCAGTTCTGCAACACTTGAGTCCAAGCTTTTCAAGATCATCCTTGAAATAATGGCAACCCCAAGCATTTCAACAATGAAGCTTCATTCTTCTCAATGAGAGGTATGCCAAGATACGGTAGCCGAAAATCATTGCAACCAGGGCACAAACTTCGTTCAACCCACTGTCTGTTTTTATGCCGTTTACTGCAGGCAGGATGCCTTGGTATTGTACCTTTAGAAGAAGCTTGTATGTGTGATAGTTGAATGACATATATCGGATCCAAGATATGAACACTGGTACTTTCTGCAACATCCAATAATGATGATGGTATGAGAATTCCGTGCGGTTAGTCAAAATTTCTAGCAAAGATTTGGTTGCTTACCTTAACAAAATAACCACCAGCCAGCATGAAGGTCATCACAGTTACTGATGCCAAAGTGGTAGCTCTCTTTAAGTTCATGAGTGTGGCTCCAATGGCTAGTCCAAGACCCTGAAAAAGTAGAAAATGTGATACCTTGGAGTTCAAACAATTGTTCAATTTTATGGTTTCTCCATGTAACAAGTAGCATACCTGGGCAGCAACAATGCAGAGGAAAACCGTTAGCGTAGTGAGGAAGAAGGGACTAGCACTCAGTCTCAAGCCTGCCATGAAGTAGACTACCAGAAGGAAAAGTACCGGTAATATCAGATCAAGTGGAAGGTCACTTGTAGTCCTAGCTAGAAAATATGCGCTCAATCGGTACATGTCGGCTGCTCTTTCTTTACCAAGCATGGCTCTTTCTTGAGGGAATGTGAAGATTGCTGTGAAAACAGGAAAGAAGCCCCAGAAGACAGCTATGAAGAACAGTAGCCCTGCCTGCATTGTCCCAAGGTTCCATTTATGACAAGTTGATATTTGTCTTAATCTCTAATGCTGTCAAGAGAAAAACAGATGGAATTTTACCTGATCTTGACGGCCTCTTGCGGTTTTACTATCCGATTCCCACCATAGTAATCCCAAGATGATTGCTGTTGAAAGAACTTGTGTGATCCTCAACCAGCTGAAATAATCATGCCTTCGTTCTTTGATCCCTCTACAGAATAAGATGCAATACTGTTGCCACCAGCTTGCACCCCATTGCCTCTTCGAAGAAGACACTTTCGACTTCAGCTCTTCGTCTAATGGAAGAGGAGCCATAAGTTTCCTCTTCTCACTATCTGCAAGTCTCGACTCATAGGCCTCCACAAGATACTGTTTTCAAGTGAAAGCATGTCATTAGGATATTGCTACAATCAACTAAGTGTAGAACATTAACACACCCCAAAATGCAGTCCATATTACCTGAGCTTCCCTCAGATTTTATAGTCATAGAGCTCCTCTTGTACTGAAAAAGAAAGAACGAAAGGATCTATGTAGAAAATTTTAGAGTTGAATTGAAGTTTACCTCATGAACAACTGATGGTGGAGGCTTTCCGTTTCCTGTTTCAGCTTCCGAATTCCCCATTTGAACTTTGTCTTCGAGCTCTAATGGCACAGAAATATCAGTTATGTTCCCATTTGCAAGGTCAAGAAGAAACTCTGCAGGGTTCATTGCAATTAGAGGGGAACAGCCAATGGATGAGAAATAAACCATTGCTTCTGAAGCTTTCCCAAAGTAGAGTAAACTGCCTTTCCCAAGAAGAATCAACTTGTCAAATTTGTGAAACAGTCTACTTGATGGCTGGTGGATTGTTGTTATCACTGTCTTCCCTACCTGCCATTACATGTGAAGATTCTAAAAACTGAGTAAAACCATGTTTTTGTTTCACATATTCTGAAAATGTTTTTGAAATAACAGTATTGCATCATACCTCAGCTATGTCTTGTAATGTTTGAATTGTTCTTAAAGCAGTTGTTGAATCCAAGCCAGAGGTTGGTTCATCGAGAAAGAGAAGAGAAGGGTTGATTATGATTTCATTTCCAATACAAACTCTTTTCCTTTCCCCACCGGACACGCCTCGAACGAACGATCCACCAATCATTGTGTCTTGACATCTGCATATCATTGTTTCAAGACCAAGCTATGTTGTTTACCACATAGTCTGAGATTCAATACCAGAGAGTTTACCTTTCCAAGCCTAACTTGTGAATCACATCGACGGCTCGTTTTTCCTTCTGCTGTTTCGTTAGTACTTTCGGCAGTCGCAGGCGGGCTGCATACGTCAACGTTTCTTTCACCGTAAGGTGCGGAAACAAGACATCGTCCTGAGTCACAAATCCTATCCTGCCATACATGATTAATTGTGATTCATCCAATGTTGCATGATGAATTAAGTTTGAGATTGTTACCTGCTTTTAAGAAACTTGGAATAAGGCTGATCATTATATGTAACGGAACCACCAACAGTGGACTGAGTTAACCGGCCTGCGAGAATATTAAGAAGTGTGGTCTTCCCACTACCTGAAGGTCCCATAAGAGCCAAAACTTCCCCGGGATTTACAGCGCCAGAGAACCCATTCAAGATATCCCTCTCTTCACAACTTGTTATTCCTTTGATAATCACCTTGTAGCTCACATCTGTGAACTGCAGTTCCAAGACATGAAATTGAGCATATTACATTCAAAAACACAACATTAGTCTCAGTGTAATAACAATATTTCCCCCATCAAAAGAAATCAAAACTAAAACTTCAAAAAACAAAAACAGTATGTATATCAGATATTCCATACCCTTCCTTCCTCAATGAAATTGTGCTTCAGAGGGTTGTTTTATGCTACTTTCTAAACTAAAGATGACTATCTAAACTAAATCCATGCCCTTTATAATATATATATATATATATATATATATATATATTGCAGGTTTCATTTGTTGGAAAGAAGGGAAGAGTCTTGTACAAAAATGTCCATGTAAGATGAGACTACTCCGTACAAGACAACCTGACAATGTTAGCCATGTTCTATGGGGATTGGCGTTGATCTTTACACAATTCTCCATCTCTTGCCTGTCCAAATACATATGGCACTCAAAATCAATCCACAGACCATTAACAAGCACATATGTGTTTCTTTTTTTCTTTTTTAATTTTTTGCAAGACCTGAAGATTGTTGTTGCTGATTAAACTTAATGATGACAATGGGGAGAAGAAAAAAACAAAGCATGCTGTTGATTGGTCTGTTTACCTTGAGATAAATTGGCAAAGTAGGTTCTGTCTGAAATTTCATCTTAGAGGTTCCAGCTTCAACATCTTCAGCTGCAAATGAAGATTTTACTAGTTTCTTCTAACAATATCTATAACATATTTTAGGCCATAAGTCAAGGCACATGTCTATACATTTATGATACTTGAATGGAACCTTAAAATGTTTATAGTATCAATTAATTTGGCATGGCCTCAGTCCCATTTAGGTGTGGGATTGAGAAATAAAGATGGCTATATCAGAGAAGCAGAAGAGATTTCAACGACATGGGGTCCTATTGTTCCATCATAATGTTAACGTTCCGTTATCTGCATTCACTCTTTCTACGTTTTGGGGTCCACTAATTGACTTCAATAAAAATAATTGAAGTATTATGAATATCTTCTATTGAGGAGGAACAAGAATAGATGTATTATTTTATATTAGGGCGAAAATTTGAAAAAAAAAATATTATAAATTTAGTGAACGTGAAATTATAAAATTTTAAAGATGTCTACAAAATATCTAAACTATATAAAGATTTAAAATTTTCGGGGATGTGATTGCACCCCAACATGCTTATAACCATCTATGAGGAGTTTGATGTGAAGCCTTCATGCTGAGTGTACGTGCTACAGTTAATTAAGCCTCAAACACTTTGTTTTAAGTTCCATTATATTTTAATCCTTTTTATGGATATTTCAGTCCCTTTAATACGTTGAAATTCAAGATTTACTCTCTATTTTAATTTATTACTATTAATTTCAAAATTCAAGTGGCTCAAGAAAAAAGTTGGTGACCAATGCAGTGGCCTAGTTTTTTTACCATTATGTGTCATTGCTCTCTATATTACCTTTATGGCTGAAAAAGGCACTGCCCATTTGAATTTTTTTAACATTATGTGTCATTTCAAAAATCATTATAACTCTTATTTTTAAAGTCTATAAAAATGTAGTTATAGCTTTCAATAAGAATACAGTTCTAAGTAAAATTTAATACTGAAATTACTTGCATTTGATTCAAATCATCATATTTTTTTCTTTAATAGAAAAAAATTAGACCCCTGTTGATTTTAAATAATAAAAATAAAAAGCATGCAAATAAGGCACAAATATTAACATAGTACTATATGTGTGTGTGAGATAAATCATCAACATATATTTGTATGTGCTAAAAATATAACATTTATTTGTTAATTATTAAATTCTTATTATTCTATTCTTTTCCGAAATTAATAGTAAAGAATTCCAAAGTCGCACATTAAGGTTCAAAGCAGTAGTTTGTGCATGAGAAAACTCGTATAAGAAAAAAAAAACTTACGTATATTATCGTCGCTTAAGGGTTTGGAATCGGCGATCTCATCCGCCGGCACAGTGAAGCCGGTGAACGAAAAAGACAACCCCAAACTAGCGCTAGAGGCGCGGCTGAGAGCCGCCCCGCTGCTCAGTTCTTCCAACTCCAGCTTCATCTGAGCACTCCTCGACTTCCTAATGTAAGTGTTGTTCTCGCTGCCGCCGCTGCTCCACTTCGGTGATGCACCGAGCACCAACCGTTTGCTCGGCTTCCTCGACGGAGTTCCACCACTTTCTGAGGTTCCCGGTGACTGATGTTCGTTTTGCCGCGGTGACTTGAAAGCCGCTGCCAGAGTCTCCACCAGTTGGTCCGATTTGGTTCGTGCCAAACTGGTTGAAGTAGTCGGTTTCTCCATTGAACAACTGCATAGGACACAAAACCCGAACTTCAATTTCTTCAAAAATTAAAATAAGATTGTTACAACATATTTATATCATTGAAAGAAATATTATATCCGACCCCCAAAGCTTTAATTTAGGTGAAATATATTGCAAAGAACAAAGTGACTAAATTTGTAATGTTCATCATAAAGAGGCAAGAAAAACGAAGTCTTGTTTGGTTGATAAGAAAAAAGAGTCCATGGTTTTCAATGAAAAATATGATCTTGAGTCGAAAACAAAAATGATACTTTGTTTTTCATTTTTGAAATTCAAGTAATCGATCATGTTAAGATCATACGCATACCTTGTTTTTTTTTTTATCCAAAATGGAAATCGTCGACGAAGAAGAAGAAAAGGGAATTAAATGAGTTGTTTTCCTTTGTGTGGTTGTTCAAAGTGCTCCAACTGTAACAATCCTCAGCACCACTAATATGTATGCATATATATAAGGTGCAATTAAAGAATGGGGAGATTTGAGTTACCCAAACGCCCTTTGAAGTCTTGGAAATTTACAAATACACATCCACGTAATACCACAACAGTGAGTCGGTGACACCATCACACTCAACGTGTACCACCATCACTGTCGTACACGTGTACGGACTTGGGAGAGTTTCATGGTTATGATTTTGGTTGTCCTTAAAAAATATCCCAACGTATATAACATTACAAAGATGTCGAAATACATTAGTTTACGAACATTTAAGACAATCGTATCGAAATCCAAATGAAATCTTGATGTCTTAATGTAGACAAAAACGACCAAGTGATTTGTTTGTGTTGATCGGATGGCTTGCATGCGTGGAACGTGAGGCTATGGTGTAGTTCTAGATTACCTTTCCATAGGGCAATCATTTTGGAGCTTTGTATATTTACCAGATGTTTTTATTTTCTTTGGGATTTTGGTTCTTATAGTTCTTGCAAACTGAATCTAATGTCTGAATATATGATGGCGATAACACCTTGAAACCTATAATTATTTTTTGTAATTGTGATATTCTTATTATGGTTTATTTCTTTCATCAATGACCATATTTTGTCATTTATTATCAATGCGATGGTTAATAATTTGTAGTTGATCATATTTCATGTCATAAACAAATTGAAAAGTTCAAATATAGTAAAAATATAATATCACAAAGTTTTATATATAAAGTTGACGGAAAAAGAAATAAAATAAAGTTCAAAATCGTCCATATGATGTCTAAAAAGAAAACGTGTTATAAGACTATCCTTCAAGTACCAGTCAAAATCCTAAAAGTCAAAGGGATATGAAAAGATAAAAATTAAGGTGGTGTTTGTTTTTGAAGAGGTAAAATATCTGCAGTCTGAGGACCACATCTGCAGGCATCTGCAGCAGAAGAGGTGGACCAAAAATTTGCAGTCTGCAAGAAGAAAACTATTTGTTTTTTAACGTCTGCAGACTGCTAAAATGAATTGAAATATAAATAAACTGATTTTTTAAACTTTAAAGAGTTTTGCAATACTGAGATTTAAATAATTTTAGTTTTATAATACTGAAATTTAAATAATACATACAACTACAATAATAAATTATTTAAAATAAATCAATCCATACAACTACAATAATAAATCAATCGATATTTTAAAATAAATCAATTCATACTAATAAATTATTTAAAATAAATCAATCTATATTTTAAAATAAATCAATCTATACTAATAAATTATTTAAAATAAATCAATCCATACAACTACAATAATAAATCAATCCATACTAATAAATTATTTAAAATAAATCAATCCATATTTTAAAATAAATCAATCCATAATAATAAATTATTTAAAATAAATCAATCCATACAACTAAAATAATAAATCAATTCACATTTTAAAATAAATCAATCTATACTAATAAATTATTTAAAATAAATCAATCCATATTTTAAAATAAATCAATTCATACTAATAAATTATTTTAAAATAAATCAATCTATATTTTATAATAAATTATTTTAAAATAAATTATTTTATAATAAATTATTTTAAAATAAATTATTTTAAAATAAATTATTTTATAATAAATTATTTTAAAATAAATAACCTTATTAAATTATTTAAAAATTATTTTAATAAAAAACCATATTTTATAATTGTTCTTGAAGAGGTTTGAAGACCTTTGAAGACATAAAATCATGTCTGCACCAAGAAGAGCTCGCGCAGACGTTAGAATAGTTTCTGTCTTCTAAAAAACAAACGGTCTGCGAAGCCTAATGTCTGCGCGTGGTCTAAGCGGCACAGACATAAGAGGTTTGAAGAGGTGGAACAGTGAAAACAAACACAGGCTAAAAGAGTGAGTTAATAAACTTAGTGTCCTCTAGTTGTAATAGATATTGTTAACACATATTAAATACTTCAGACATAATATAATGTGTAAATCAAAACAAATACAACAGTAAATTAATAATTCATTTTAGGAATAGTATAATAGAAATTTCACACAATGTTACCTTCTATCGTGAAAAAAAATAGGGAGGGGATAATGCCCTCAGAAGAGGATCTGAAGCAGAATCAGGACAGAGATATAATATCATGCAAAAAAAGGACGAGAATATAATCTCATGCATAATCAAGACGATGATATAATCTCATGCAGATACAAGACATATATATAATCCTATGCAAAAACAGGACAGAGATATAATCTCATGTAAAATCAGGAAGGGAATATAATCTCATGCAGAATCAAGATGGGGATATAACTCATACATAATCAAAACAATCATATAATCTTATCCAGGTGACATAAATGGATCAATATTTAAACTAATAGTGATACAACATTAATCAAAATTCAAATATATTACAAATAAATATAATTAGATTAAACATGTGTACAAATAGCAAAAATGCATCATAATAGCATAAAATATTAAATGTATTAAAATGGACAATGGAACACAGCTGTAGTAACTAATTGGTGCCAACTAATCTATATGTTTTCCACGATCAGTAGTACTAAGTCCTACATCTTGAGAACCTAATAATAACACACTACTGTATAAGTACGAAAATTATTTATCTCAACATAAATAGACTATTAAGTCACAAAATAACACTTACGTGTATATCAAGATGAACGCGTGGAATTGAACTAAGTCAAGCGAGAGTGGTCAAGATCTATCTAAGAGCGATACAAAGATACATGATCACTTTTAGAAAATAATACCCAAAAAATATTACAAAATCTCATAATTCAATTAAAATAATTAAGATTTTAAGCAATATATGACATAAAATAGGGCTTTTGTGTTAGAATTTGACAAAACAGACTGCATAATCATATTTAGGACTTCGAAAAACATAAAGGTAAGGGTCAACAGAAAAAATAACAAAAAAAATCAACGATCAAATTCAACAATCAATAGAGGGTTCGGGTCAGGGGCTTAGTTCGAGTCAAAATCAGTTTAATCATACCAGTCAAATGGATCAAACTTTTCCAGTTACACCGATCTAAAGTCAACCAATCCAGCCGCCTAAAACAATCTCACACACGCACGACAGCGTATGAGGGCGCGTGAAATACCTTATTGTGGCCAAAAAATTCAAAAAATATACGGGAAGTCACTTACGTTTGTAAGGTTTCTTGAAAGATTGACGAAGATGGGATTTTAACAAAATCTGAATATTAGACCCTCTCCTGATTACAAAGGGCGACACCAAACGACGAATCAAAGACACCGAACGGACAGGATCGATGAGACGTACACAATGATGCCAAAGATGAGAGTCACAGTGACTTCAGAAATAAAGAATTGATGAAAAATCGAGGTAAAGAGAGAGAGAGAGAGAGAACGTGTGAGAGAAAGAGAGTGATGTTTTTTTCAAATGAAAAAGAAAGTAACTGCAAAAGAAAGGGATATGGTTTCTTAACCCTAACTTTTTGTGTAAACTATGCTATAAACCCTCACTCTAGGGAGTTTTCAAATTGGTAATGAGGTTTTAAAAACACTCTAAATTAGTCCCCAAAATTTGACATGTGACACTTCTATTGAAACGAGAAATATGTCCTTCTGCTTGTAGTTATTGATGCACTACCCCTGAACCACTTAAATGACTACCCATTAGACAACAGATCAAAAAACACCTCATCCGAAATGAAATCTGTAAAGACCCTCATTAAGCTTCAGTGGAAATTTTTGCCTATTCTTTCTGATTCTATCTTTACAGTGTTAAAATCTCCTCCTATTATGACTGGAACAACCAACTCCTCGATTAATTATTTTAAGAGCTTAAAGAAATATTTTCTCTACTATTTATCAATCCAATGTGTCAATTAACATGAAGGGTAAACTAATTTGGAATCATAAATCGTTATTAATCCTTTCGCCGATCCACTTGCTGGAGAGTAAACTAATTTGCCTAAATACCGACCCAACAGCCTTCCGGTTAACCATTGATTAACATTCATCAACTTTGTTTCTTGAAGGTATACAACTCGCACTTTACTTAAACCAATTGTGCGACTAATTGCACGAACTTTCTCACTTTTCCCCAACTCACGAACATTCAAGGATAATACAACTAAATTCATTGAGAAAATAAAGTAGTACACAACAATGAAACACTACTTACATCACTAATAGCGCCCTTCAGCGAACTCAAATTCCTCAAGTCTTCCTATAGCTTCCCGCTTGGTTGCCAGAAACTCCACATCAAGAGTCTCCCCAATAGTAAAAGTGGCCCTTGCTTCGATTGTATGTGTTAAGCTCGATGAAGCTCGATCGATCAACCGAAAATGTGCCAAGAAGGGGTGAATTGGTTCTTTGAAGTTTAGAGCATGGATTTCAATAGCATTTGCGGTCACGTTTTCGGTCACGTCACGTTTATCGCAGTTGCGGACATAACGGATGTCATCGCGATCACTGCGGGTGTCGCGGTCGTGAATTTTTTTAAATTTTACACAACTTATCGTAAAACATAATAAAAATAATTATACTTATAAGGAATCATTTTTAATG